ACTCACAATAGCAGAACAGTGGGGCAATCAAAACACCCAATCTAGGGACCGTGCTCTGCAAAACGAAAGAAACCATGGAAATGGATAAACTCTCGGTCCTACTCCATGACACAACCCATAATCACAATAACATCTGGGACCCATGGCTCATATACCACCTAACCCATACTTAAGAGGACCCGAATAGAACTGTCCACCCACCGACCGACAACCACCCCTCAGGCCCCTGGCAAATCCACCTACCCCAACCCCTCCCCTCACCCGAAACAAAACCATCACCTTCAACATTGCCACAAATACCACTCGCACCTCATATTGATCCACACACCAGGAAGACAACATTACGGATTACAATAGAATCTGAGACCTGAAAACACCCCCTCGGAGGAAGACACCGAATACACACACCCACACACTAATGGCTAACACTAGTAGCCTAACCCACACTCACCTAGAGCACTGAACATCGGCCCCACAAAACGGACTGAGAACCTCACCCCCCCCCCAACAAGAGAAAATCTAAATGGATGTACTGTGTGTCTTTCTGTACCAAGGATGCTGAACCACCATTCACCCTTCCAAACCCTTTCTATTTCTGTATCCCACTAACGACCCAAAAAAAGTCTATATAAAACCTTTAAATAAAGAATTTACCAAAAAAAATACCTCTTGCATTCGGACCTGATAATCTATTTTGGTAACTATTTCTGACCATGCATGTTCTAATGAGACTTTCTAGTTAGAATTAATTTGGAGGACATAAGTATATTTATGAAGAGATTTATGTTTTAGTCTACATGTAGTAAAATCAAGTTGAAACAAGAATAACTGAGGTGATAAGACTGCCTGCAAAGCATTGTAAAAACCTAATTTTAGACCTTTGCACTCCCACCACATATGGTACAGTGTACCAACAGATATTCGGATAACTGTGTGATTTTTTTTTAATTCTAATAGGAGTTGAGCTCCTCCAAAATTGTGCAGTTTAGCAGCGATACCACAAGCCACTCCGGAAGTGGGACACAATAATGCATTGTTTGCTACCTAAATCGAGGCTCTGAGCCACCAGGAACCGCGACAGCAAATTGCGGCCTGTAAGCAGCATGGCTGAGGAGACGTGGAGACTTGACCTCAACTACAAACATCTGGGTCTGTGGTAAAGGGATGCATGCCTTCATGAGGGCCACTATCCCTCAAGCTTCCCTAAATGCCTCTACCGCGTATCCCTATACACTACCAAGTTTGGATGAAGTTTGCAGCCACACACGGAGCTACCCCTCACACCCTCATGTGCCCCTGAAACCAGCGAACTCTGACATCCCATGAAATGCCTTCATCACTAGCTCGACTTGTCCCGACACAGTGACTTGCTACTAAATAAGTTACACCATAGCATTGTGCAATACTGTTGTATGCTAGCTTGTTTAGGATCAATGGATGTAAAAACCGAAACATGGAATGAGCCTGCTTAGTGTCAGCTGCCATCTTTAGATGCCATATCTTGTTAGTAATACTCAAATAGGTTATTAATCAATGCATACTGTACCAGCGTGAGTTGTGTTCTCGTAACTCTACCTTAACAGGCAGTTTGGGCAGCGAGTGTCGGTACCTGATGCTCACCAATTTTGCTTAAGTTTCCACCTTACTCAGCATGTGAAATAATCATTTGTTTACTGTCATTTATACCACTCTTTCGGACAGCAAGTCTAACTTGTTACTTATGATCTGTTATGTCTCTCCACTGTCTAACTCATGGTCACATCATCCGTAAAAACAAAAAATGTGCAGTTTAACTATATGCCATGTCGATGATTATATCACTCTGCTTGTAAATGCTGTTGTGGCTTAAAGGACCACTATAGTGCCAGGAAAACAAACTCGTCCCACTCCCGTGGTGCTGAAGGGGGAGAAAGGGGTTAATCCCTTACCTTTTTTCCGGCGCTGGGGACTCTCCTCCCTCTTCTGATGTCCCTGGCTGAATGCGCATGCGCAGCAAGAGCCGCGCGCACTCTCATCCAGTCCATAGGAAAGCATTCTCAATGCTTTCCTATGGACGCTGGCGTCTTCTCACTGTGAAAATCACAGTGAGAAGCGCGGAAGCACCTCTAGCGGCGGTCAATGAGACAGCCAGTAGAGGCTGGATTAACCCATAGGTAAACATAGCAGTTTCTTTGAAACTGCTATGTTTACAGCAAAAAGGGTTAAACCTAGCTGGACCTGGCACCCAGACCACTTCATTAAGCTGAAGTGGTCTGGATGCCTATAGTGGTCCTTTACCAAGCTTACTGCTACTCCGTGCACGCTATAAATAATGAATGTCAAAAAAATATCACCTATGCATAACCTTGAAGGCTTAATGCAGGCTTAAACTGTGAGTAATCTTTCTAACCTGCATGATAACCTCACCCCAGATATTTAGTTGGAAAGATATTCCAAAATCTCTTTCCCATTTATTTTGAAGACTGAGGTTTGTATACTTGATAGAGATCTTTAAAGATATCTATCAAGTATGTAGTTTTAACGATAAATTTGTCTTTAGAGTGCTTATTTATAAAAAAAATTTAAAAAATTCGGGATGCTCTTCAATCCCAATTCTGGTAGGTAGTTAAATGTTTAATTCTAATGTAACTGGCTTATCTGAAAACAAATTATGCATAGTTTTTAAACTAGCAATTTATAAAATCTTGCCATAGGGAGCAATTTGAGATAAATTATGTCAATTTGATCAGATTACTATATTGACTATAACGTTGGAGGACTTTGATCGGGGAATATATATTTTTACACTTCTCAAAGCTGTTACTATAGCTGTTTAACTATGAGGGTGGAGTTGGAATATGTAGCCTGCTTTGAGGGTCTTATACTGCTCTAAATCTATCCATACTAAATTGGAAAAAGATATTTTTGGCAACTCTTCTCTTCCATTGTTTTTCAGATTGCCCTGGCTGTTTCATGACAGTCCCACTTTAGGAAGTGTGTAAACGTGTTATTATCATGTTACTCTTTGATACTGGGAATATTTATTCCTCCATTCACAACTTTTCTAGTTGGTGTATCATGCAATATTTTAGATACTTAACTTCCCCAGATAAAGTTCATAAATGCTTTCCTGAACAGAGACTGTAAACTTAAAGGGACTTTGAGAGGTATTGATATTGATCTAAACAAAAATGTTTAATTTTGGTAAGACGAAGGCATTAATTGTGTTTATGCATTCTAACTACGAGATTTACAATTCCTTCCATTTTTGAAACCATTATTTAAATAATAAAGTAATATATTCTATTCAAATTCATCCCAATTTTAATACCTAAATAATCAATCAGTTCTCTAGTCCATCCCCAATCATTAGGGATGTCACGAACCGTTCGCGAACGGCTCGCCACGGTTCGCGGCGAGCTCTGGTCAGCTGACACATCCCGGCCAATCTCCAGCAGACCCTCCCTCCCAGACCCTCCCATCTCCTGGACAGCATCTATGTTGAAGCTGACCGGAGTTCGCCGCAAACGGTTCGCGGCGAGCCGTTCGCGGGAAGTTTACTGCGCAAACTCACTTTGTGTGTCAAAAAGGCAGGAAAAAAATGCTTATTACCACTACACTTGGTACAAGCTAGCAGAAAAAGTATCCCACGCTAAGGTTCAAAATATGCCTTTTGAAATACCCTGGGATGTCTTTAAGAAATGTTATGCCTTTATGGTGGAGTTGGAATATGTAGCCTGCTCAAGTGTTCCAAAGAGGGACACGGAAGCATCAAAGCCCTCCATGAAAATTCACACTTAAAAACCTGAACTTGTCACATCTCTTACAGCACTGTAACTTCACAAAATAGTGTCTAGGTCATACATTGGGCATATTGTTTTACTCAGAAGATGTAACTGAGCATAATTATGATTTTTTTTTATGACAGTGGTACATATCAAGTGTAAGAAATACTCAGCAAACATGCAACATATATGTAAAAATTACTTTTTTTTTTTTCACCCTAGCCACAATCATTGACATAAATTGAAAAAATTGTGACAAGTTAAGGCACAATATACACCATATAAGATACCCTGGGATGTCTGCTTTATCAAGTGAAAGCCCTGTGTGGGGTTATTTGAACAGTTACACTGCTAGAATACCCTATAATGAGACATAGGCCGGTCAAATCCATCTACGAAAATTCTAACTATAGAAACTGAAATAGCCTGGTCTCTTATATAGCATTGTAGCTTTACAGAAAGGGCATACAATGGGGGTATCGTTATAATCAGCAGATGTAGCTGAACACAATATGGGGTTCTGTGCAGGAATAGCACACACCAGCTTTACAAAATACAAAAACCTTGTCATATGTCTATATGTCAAAATAGAGAAAAAACACAATTTTACTACAATATTTAGCAGAGATTGGCGATGAAATGGTTACGTAAAAAGTGTCAAACTAACCTTGGGTAAATAGCCTGTGATGTCTACTTTATATAAATACTTTTGTGTGGCAAATTTGTTTTCTGTGGTGGCTTCTAAACCTACAAGACAAACATACCAACTTCTAAAATAGTTTCACATTTAAATTTTATTTTAGTCCATGTATTTTGTGACCTGTAACTTTCAAAATAAGCTGAAATCCTATATACTCTATATCTTGTTTGCATGAACGCAGGCAGCGGTGTTTGAGCATGAATCTCATGGAACTAAAAACAGAAACTCCCGAACACCGCTGGACCATCATCGCCTGCGTTAGTTTCTACACAATTTAGAAGGGCACTGTTCAGTGAAATCATTTGTCTGGATGAGGGGAACAAGCTCCAGGGTAAGACTATTTGACTCTGTTCATTAGTTTTTTCGTTTTCTAACTACCAAACTAGACCGACTGCAAGCCCTGATTCTCTGGAACTGTTTTGGGCATGAGACCATGCCTGCGGTCGGTCAAATAAATGACTTCCAGGAAATTCCTGTACCCCTGAACTGATTTGGGTGATTTTTGGATATGTTGGTCACCCAGATCAGGGCTATCAGGGGGAGTAACATTTGTGGGGATATTATGTGTTTTGGGGTATCTTTTTGTTTTTTTTGCCTGGAGATAATTGAGTTAATACAGTATCTGATTCAATTATCTCCCAGGCAGAGGGGAGGAATTGTGTGCTGTGTGTGGGAGTGTCGTGCCTTGTAACCTTATTGTTATTGGTCTGTGATGTTGTAAATCAGTCTACAATCAGGTCCATGTGGGGGAACCCCTTGCATTGGGATTGTCCTATAAGGCCAAGTGTAGCACCATTAAAAGGAGTTCCTCTTCACCCTCAACACCTAGCCTCATCTTGTGATTGTAGGGTACAGCTATAATCCCTGCTCCTGGGATTGCTCTTTGGATTACTATACCGGCTATAATCACTAGCTCTTTTTAGAGCTATACAGCCAGACCTGCTATACTCTCTCTCGAGGAGAGGTCCACCCACTGAAAGCTGGATCCTTGTCTTAGGTCCAGGGTGGGTGGAGGACGGCGAGACCCCAGCTAAGCTGTGGCGAAGGGGCTATGGTGCTTATGGTGTTCGGTGTGGTGCTTATAGTACACAAGGCGACTAGGAAGCAGCGATTGGCGGAGGCACCCAGTCGGGGTGCCTGGCGGTTTGTCACGAGGTATATTTGCATATTATGAACTTTGCAGACAGGAGAGATATTTTGTGTTAATTATTGTCGTCCCCGCCCATTTACAAACATGTTATTTTATAGATTGCGGTTTGTTTTATCATATGATTTATTTATTTGTATTATATTGAGTTGTTACAGCAAGTTTAATGTTTTGCGAATATTTGCTAGTCCTGAGTTAAAATAAACTGTGTATGTTAGTTCCATTTGTAACGGTGTGTCCTGTGGCTTTGTTCAGAGATCCCAGTAAGAGTCTTGGTTGTTGGTTGTCTTCTTGGTCCCAGTAGACCAGGACAGGTCAAAAAAGAAAGCCACAAGAGTCTTTGTAAAGGCAATAGCTAAACACATTACAGGCATACCTGTCTGGTAAAGAAGCTGAAGAGGTAAAGAAAGAGGGGATGATACCTCCTGGAAGAAAAGAGCTGCAGTCAGATGGAAGAGTTGCTGAGAGACCCCTATCAAATTTGGCAACTGAGTCCCCTGTGGCAGTGAAGAAGCGGATGTGACTGAGATACTCTATCAAAGTACTGGAGCTCTGTCACAACTATGTTTAATATTTTACGTGAATTATCAACTATATCTCTAACCATAACAAATCCTGTTTGAGCTTTATGTACAAGTTCAGGGATCAAGATAGTGAGTCGTTCTGCCAACATTTTATAAAATATCTTTATAGCTAAACTAATTAGGAAGATTGGATGATAATTTAATAAAAGGATAGCTTGATCCTTCCTGGGTTTGGGGATTGGGACAATATTGGTATGTAAAAGTTCTTGAAGGATATGGTTACTAATACTAAATTGGAGAATTCATCTGGTCCAAGAGCTTGACAGTTTTTCAACATTTTAATTTTAATTTGAATCTCATTTAAAGGGTTTATTCAGGATCTCAAGCTTCATTGGATTGATAATTAGGAGATAACATTTTCTAAGAATATATAACAGGACTGGACTAAAACATTGACGATTATGCAAGTGTGTTTTAACACAAAGAGTATTGACACTTATTACAAAGCCCTCTGGAGTACACTTCTTTGGAGTGATATATTCAAGACGGGAGAGTGAGTTCCAGACCTACGGTGAATATATATAAAAGCTGTGTGCGCTACACAACTTATATATAAATTAGCTGTGTAGCGTGCACAGAGTTTTTTTTGAAGGCCAAACGTTTTACTTTCTAGGAGATCCTATCTAAACTATCATTTTTCACTACAACCCTACACCTAATTGTGTTGCCTTTAATTATTTTACTGGAAGATAAGGAAATCAACTTAATAAAAAATAGCAATTTCGTAATCTGTTCCACACAGATATTTCTCCTAGACTTTATCTAGTACATTACATCAATCTTTCATTAAAGGACCACTACAGTGCCAGGAAAACATACTCATTTTCCTTGCACTATAGTGCCCTGAGGGTGCCCCCACCCTCAGGGTCCCACTCCCGCCCGGCTCTGGGGAGAGAAAAGGGGTAAAACTTACCTTTTTTTTCAGCGCCGGGCGGGGAGCTCTCCTCCTCCGATCCTCCTCCTCTCCTCCCATTCGGCTGAATGCGCACGCGCGGCAAGAGCTGCGCGCGCATTCAGCCGGTCTCACAGGAAAGCATTCATAATGCTTTCCTATGGACGCTTGCGTGTTCTCACTGTGATTTTCAAAATGAGAATCACGCAAGCGCCTCTAGAGGATTTGGAGGATGGATTAACCCATTTATAAACATAACAGTTTCTCTGAAACTATGTTTATAAAAAAAAATGGGTTAACCCTAGCTGGACCTGGCACCCAGACCACTTCATTAAGCTGAAGTGGTCTGGATGCCTAGAGTGGTCCTTTAATGGCTCCCATTCTCTTTCGCTTTAGTCTCCTCTACCCAACCCTTTTCTTTCTAATTATTTCTATGAAAATATATATTTTAAACTAAATGCATTATACTATATACCATTATTACTTAATATAACCTATATATAAGGTATTTAACCCTTTCTAATTGTGAAAAAATAAATGTATAACACCCACAGTTCCCTCTGAAAGCCTAATGTTTTCTATGTTGAGCTATATAAGAAGACCCTATTTAACTATATGTTCTTTCGCTTGTGAAGGTTCAAGGAAGTTGAGTTTCCATCATAATGGACTACTCGTTTAATAGGGAATCCCCATTGATACGTTAGATTCTTTTCCCTTAAGATCTTTTTTTCTTGAAAGCATCTTCTTACTGATATAGTGGCTGCTGAAATGTTCGAAAAGATATTTGTATTTTTCTTCTTTAAAGGGATTTTTCGTAATTATTCTTCTAGATTTGAGAACCAGACAAGTACATTTCTAGGTGCTGTAATTTTGTTTGGTTTCCGTAGCCTGTGAAATCTTACTAATGGATGGGAATCAAAAAGTACTATTTCCATTTATTGATGAAAACATATCTAGTAAGTAGGCTTCCAATTGCTGACTTGAGACACTTTCTGGAATACCTCTTATTCTAAAGTTCTTCCTGCAAGATCTATCTTCCATGTCCGATACTTTAGTTTATAGATATTGGATTTTAGATCCTAGTTGAAGGTTTTCTGATTGAATTTCTTGAGTCATTCTGAATTTTAACCAGTAAATCTGCTTGTTTGGACAATTTCTGCCACTTAATTTTTCAACTCAATTGTATTTGAGCCTAAATCTTAAATAAAAATAACTTTTTTTTTTTTTTTTTTATCATAAAGAATCTTGGGAGAACGATAAGTTGGACATGTCTTCTTCTTCTGCTGTATTTCCAGCTATTTGTTCTTTTATGCTTCCCTCAAAGCTTTTTGAGTGTGCTTTTAAAGATTCCTGAGATTTATGGGAGCAAAATATATATATATACACTGAACAAAATAATAAACGCAACACTTTTGTCTTTGCCCCATGTTTCATGAGCTGAACTCAAAGATCTAGTACTTTTGCTATGTACACAAAAGGCCTATTTCTCTCAAATATTGTTCAAAAATCTGTCTAAATCTGTGTTAGTGAGCACTTTTTCTTTGTCGAGATAATCCATCCACCTCACAGGTGTGGCATATCACGATGCTGATTAGACAGCATGATTATTGCAAAGGTGTGCCTTAGGCTTGCCACAATAAATGGACACCCTAAAATGTGCGTTTTTACTGTATTGGGAGGGTCCTGGGAGGTAGGGGGGGAGCTTGGAAACCAGTCAGTATCTTGTGTGACCACCATTTGCCTCATGCAGTGCAACACATCTCCTTCGCATAGAGTTGATCAGGTTGTTGATTGTGGCCTGTGGAATGTTGGTCCACTCCTCTTCAATGGCTGTGCGGAGTTGAAGGAAAATGGCAGGACATGGAACACGCTGTCGTATACGCCAATCAAGAGCATCCCAAACATGCTCAATGGATGACATGTCCAGTGAGTATGCTGGCCATGCACAAACTGTGATGTCAGCTTCCAGAAATTGTGTACAGATCCTTGCAACATGGGGCCGTCCATTATCATGCTGCAACATGAGGTGATGGTCGTGGATAAATGGCACAACAATTGGCCTCAGGATCTTGTCATGGTATCTCTGTGCATTCAAAATGCCATCAATAAAATGCACCTGTGTTCATTGTCCATAACATTCGCCTGTCCATACCATAACCCCACTGCCACCACAGGCCACTCTACTCACAACGTTGACATCAGCAAACCGCTCACCCAAAAGACGCCATACACGCTGTCTGCCATCTGCCCTGTACAGTGAAAACCGTGATTCATCCGTGAAGAGAACACCTCTCCAAAGTGCCAGACGCCATAGAATGTAAGAATTTGCCCACTCAAGTCGGTTATGATGACAAACTGCAGTCAGGTCGAGACCCCGATGAGAACGACAAGCATGCAGATGAGCTTCCTTGAGACGATTCCTGACAGTTTGTGCAGAAATTCTTTGGTTATGCAAACCGATTGTTGCAGCAGCTGTCCGGGTGGCTGGTCTCGATGATATTGGAGGTAAGATGCTGGATGTGGAGGTCTTGGGCTTCTGTGGTTACATGTGGTCTGTGGTTGTGTGGCCGGTTGGATGTACCGTAAAACATTCTCTGAAACGCCTTTGGAGACGGATTATGGTAGGGAAATGGACATTTAATTCATGGGCAACAGCTCTGGTGGACATTCCTGCAGTCAGCATGTCAATTGCACACTACCTCAAAACTTGCGACATCTGTGGCATTGTGCTGTGTGATAAAACTGCACAATTAAGAGTGACCTTTTATTGTGGCCAGCCTAAGGCACACCTTTGCAATAATCATGCTGTTTAATCAGTATCTTTATATGCCACACCTGTGAGGTGGATGGATTATCTCGGCAAAGGAGAAGTGCTCACTAATACAGATTGACAGATTTGTCAACAATATTTGTCAACAAAATCTTAGCTCTTTGAGTTTAGCACATGAAAAATGGGGGCAAAAACAAAAGTGTTGTGTTCATAATTTTGTTCAGTGTATTTATGGATTTATTTTTAATCTGGTCATAGTTTTATCTTTAAGTGCCATGATTCAGAAAGAACATCCAACATGTTATTTCAAAATATTGTGAAAAAAAACAACTTTCAAATATTTTTTTCCTTTTCATTCTTCTCTACCTTCTCCTTTCCTTCTCTGCTCCTTTCCTTTTTTTTTTATTTAATGCAGCATATTAACTATAGCCTGTACATCGAAATCATCTCACAAGCAGTATTGTTTTAACGCCACAATATATATAAACTTAAAGGTTAACTCTTTTACCGTTTTTCCCCACAAAAAAAATTAAATACAACAATCAAATATGCATTTAAATTGGAAAAATTGGCATTGTGCATTTTCCAGACTTGGCTGTAACCGAGTCATTCCTATTGTAATTTGTGTTTGGCAAATACCTTTAAAGAAAGAAATTAATAAACAGGACATACATTGCATTTAGCCATGGATATCAATTATGATATTTTGACAGTTTTATATGATAAATATTAACGTGTTATTGGAATGTTATCGTTCTTCTATTTCAGGTAAGGCACTTGCACATGTCCCTCTTTTCTTTCCAAATGGCACTCTTCTCTAGAAGCTCCATATTGTTGGTGTGCCTGAGTGTATAACAGAGCTCCACAGCAATAAAATTCCCAGTCATTTTCTTTAAACTGCAAAGATGTTTTAAAGTACATAGTTTTTGTTCTAAACTGCATTTTAGTGTCCTAAATCGTTACTGGTAAGAAAAATAAAAATAAAATAAAATAAATTCCCAGAACTACCCCTGGACACATCCACACTCAAATTACCTAAAATAAGTGTCCTCTTTTGTCCATCTGATACAAACTCATCCCTCCCAACATTTCAAACAATAGTTCAGAGGTCTAAACACCCATACACTTAAAGATACGTTTTATTTTACATTTGAGAATAAATCTGATACACTAGTCACTTTCTCTTTTTAAGCCAAGGCTGACCACAGACGCTGTTTAAATTTTTCCAAGTTTGCTTTTTTCATTAGGGTGACTTTATGGTTTTTCTTCAATTTTTCATCAGAATCCAGAACCATCATCCCCCTTGTGTAATGTCCCTGTAGTTCCACACTTACTGCGCACTCCAGGCTTTCTGTTATAATACTCTCATCGATCGCAGCAGCCACAGCATAGGAGTCATAAGACACAAAGCTGTCTTTCTGTGGCCAGCGGGCAGTGATTGTTTTCATAAATTTAGCTTTTGCAGTGTCCTGGTTCACCCAGTCTTTGAAATATTCCTGTGAGGGTGAATACAGCATGCCATTAGTGTCCTGTACTAGCTATAAAACAGGAATCTAAATCTGCCATTCCCTTCTGTTCACATACAGGGATCTTCACTAGAGTAAGAATTCAAAATTAATTTCAAATTGAAGGGAAAAATAACCAAAATGAAAAAATTCCAAATGTTTTCAATTTGGATATTCTGGGCCTTAAATTTTAATTTCACTGGACACCGGCTCAGAACAGTCGTGTTAGGACTATGTATACTATTGAGGGTATTTAAACTACTACAGTATATAAACAAGCACTATAATTACATGAATATCTTGTAGAAATTACAGGAGGACATAAATGTAATCTTCCTGGTAAAACACCTTGTTCATCATGATTAACCTACAAACCATTATCCAGATGTTGGGATGTCAATGTATGAATTAATTGACCCTGAATCTCAAAACAGAAGAACTTGGCAAACGTTCCTATCTCATTTGGAAAACCAAGACTGACAGGGAAGTTTAGTTTTATTAATACATTTAAATGTATACTTTCGCAAATTCACAAGGAGATGCTGATTAAGTTGTACCTGGGACATCCCCTATATGAGAGCCTAACCCCAAAAATACAAGATTAAAAGATCATCCTGAAATAAAAGTAAAAGGGTAGAGCATGTAATATACAACATTCTAAATCTTTATAGAAAAATTGCATGAAATGTGTAACACGGGTGCAATATATTTGATGTGATTAATATACTGTAGTTCCTGGTTTCAGTAGGTCAGCTCAATTCGCAGTTTAGTGAACCTTAACCCTATACATTGACTTATCCAGCAATAAAAACTAAATCGCAAATGTCTCTGTACAATTACAAAACCCTCTCCCTGCACTCCCTTCTCCTTGGTTTCTTTCCCAACCATGTACCCTACTGTGTTCCCCAATAGGTTTACTCCTCTAACATTTCCTGTTATTTCTGTCTCTTTTGAGTCTCTATTATTATAATGCTTATACTCCTTTATTTACCACATCTATATACCTCTAGGTTGTTTTTTTAGTGGACAGGGATCTTTGTTTAGTGTTATATTGCTTGAAAATGGTTTTACACTGAATGGAGGTGCAATGCCAGGAAACTACAGCCATTGTACTATTGTGTTGTCGAGTGAGGCAATAATCCTAGCAGTGATGTTTCCAAAGATAGATACTGTGTAATGCTATATGTATTTTTGCTATATGAAGTGAAAATAAAAATTCATACCATTGTAAGGCTGTTTGCACGAGAAAAGTCTAAAGTAGCGATATAGGTGGGGCATGTAAATTCATTCATCACAATGTAGGCAGCCTCTGGGTCAAGACAGAAGTTAAACTCTGCACACACTGTTCTGTTACCTCTTCCTGCAAAAGAAAAACGTCACTGAACTAACACAATCTGGAAGATTTATCAAACTTTTCTGTTCTAAAAAGCAGTGCAAAAAGTTGAAAGGGGAGTAGTCACCAGTGGAATGTGCCTGCAGGTACAACTTTTTTTTCCATAGTGACAGTCCTACTTACTTTAGATCACGTTTAGAAAACAAAGCTTTGATAAATCTCAACATTTGGTGACTGAAGAAAAGAAGAGTTAGAAGAAAGAAGACTTCTGATTGTAAGCATCATTTTTAATTTTACAGGTATTATTTATGTTTCACCCCGCCTCACTTTTATTAGGGCGATAGGGATAGGTAGGGTTAATTAATTTTAATAAGAGATGGGATTGGGGACCCCTACCTCCTTGGAAAGGGGTGGCAATCCCAGTAATTGGGAGGGGGGTTAAACAATGGCATGTCCACCCCCCATGGTTTTAATATTTAGAGCCCCCAACTGTCGCCTAATATAATTAGGACCTCACATTCGGTCCCATGGGTGGGACCGGGGGAAGATACTAATTCCTCCTCCCTCTATTATATGTAGCCCCCACTTACAATAGCCCACACCCACTGACCACAGGTAAGGACAGGGGTGACATTAGGAATGCCCACCTGTATTTTTTTAAATAGACCCACCCGGGGGCGGGGCCGGACCACCAAGCTGGACTGTCGCAAGACAGACTAGCTCCCGCAAAAAGCTAAACCATTAAGCCATAAAAACACAATTTTGTTCCTTCTGCTGACCAGCAACAGCGGCCCTCGACGGGCAGAGTGCACTGGATCCAGGATGAGGCTGGCTCAACGAGTATTAGTCCCCTGGAAGAGAGATCTTTACTCCCAAAATTGGGGCCTACTCTGGCGGTGAGTGGAGCAGATGGCCGCTGCCCGCTATCCCACCTAACAGTGCCCAGCCGAGGGCTCAGACCCCCGAGGAACCTGCACTATTCCCCCCCCCCCCGGACTAGGGGGGGGATCCCGGTTCTCACCCTGGTGCCCCGACCTCTACTACATAACTAAGGCCTAGCAACACTGCCAAACCGATCCGCAACCCAGAAGCTAAACCTAAGATGGCGGAGGCTGCGCTCAACAGCACCAAGAACAGAGTGCAAAAAAATGGTCCCCCCACATCAGCCGCAACCAACGCGGACCAGAAGCACCAGCAAATCTGACACCCACGAGATCGCCGGCACGCACACATTCTGGCACCCTAGTGGGTCACTTACCCCTGGAGCCTCATCACCAGCTCTCGGCTCCGTTAAGGAGATGGGCCAGCAAACGGTGGCGGAGAAAGAGGCACAGCAAGCCAGCGCTCGCCCAACAGCAGGGACCACCAGCCCTTACCCCGCTACACACCGCTCTCCAGTCTGGGTCCATCGAGCCGGATGCCGCATACCGCTCCCGGACTATCGTGCAGCATCTGCCAACCGACCCCGCGAAAGTCGCAACACAGACAGACCGCCAGACAGCAGCAGGAACATGCAGAGCCAACAGAGGGCACAAGCTAAACAGAGGCACAAGTGGACTCTCTGAAAAGGACTCTCCTAATTTTATCTTGTCTTGGTGTAAACATGGCAATATTGAATTTCACCTGTCACAATGCACCAGCCTTACTCACTTTACTCATGCGTAGCTACAGGGGTCTAAAGAGTGATATATTACCGCTCATATCTAAAGCATGTATCCAGCAAATGGTAAAAAGAGTGTAATACCTGCATGTAACCTTATCCTGTACCCATTATACCAAAAAATGTGCATTGTCTAGCAACTACCCTACTTGTTATCTATGCCAAGCAGCTCAAGGAATGCCGTTGGGGTACCTAGAGCCAGTTGTAATCACTATATGCACCGCAAAAAATAAAAATAAAAATAAAACAAATAATAATAATAAATAGACCCACCTGTTGGCCATGGATATAGACATTTAGTAGATATGCCACGACCTGCCACATAACAGGTTGGGAAATAGGGAGGTTTTAAATTTCCCTTATAGGAATATGGGGGTTTTATTGACCCTCCATAGGCTTTTTCATTTATGGATTTCTAACTATTAAATATGGCAGCTGGCTAGCAAATGCTAGCCAGTTGCCACAGGTTTAAACTTTGGAGGGTTTTTAACTATTTACCCGGTGGCTACAAGAGCTGCCAGTGAGCAAATAGTTTGTATTTTTATTTTATTTTAATTCAAGCCTAGACTTCATCATTCCGACAATGTTTGGTCCAGTTGAAATCCAGACCAAATTCAGGCGCAGATATTGTTGAATAGCATAAACCCTTATTCATCCAGATGGTTTTACCCCATTTGGTATGAGACCCATTCAGACGTTTGTGAATAACCCCATACGCAAGTGTATATCTGGGGCAGGCAACCTTTTGCACTCCAGCTGGTCACCCATCCCAGATAGAATTTTCCGTTCTCCAATAGCATTCATATTACCCAACAGTATTATTTTTCAGTTTAATAGGACGTTCGTTCCTTTTATAGATTTAATAAGATGAATATGAAATAACTGCCAGTGTGAGTTAATGTGAATACATACATATTTATAATGTTGTAGCTGTTCAATTCAGCTTGTTTCATTGTTATTCTAAAGCAAAGGTTGTTTTTTTTTTTTTACCTTCAAGGTTTCCTCCCATAATGTACAACTTGTGAAGCTTCTTGGGAATAGAAGGGTCCAGTTTTATTGCAAGGGCCACATTGGTCAAAGGCCCCAGTGCTATTAAGGAAACCTTTTTAAAGACAAAAGCAAGATTTTTAATACAGTTGAACCCAATATTAAAATGATGAAGAGGCATTGAGCTTAGTTTGACCATGGTGATGTGTTATGTGGTTAATTATATGAATGTGACAGGGTGAGTGGGTAAGACTGGGAGGTGAGATGGGACTGACAGGTTGGATAGGGGATATGATGTGTATCCAATTCCGCTTTTTATCTTTTTTTTTCAATGCCCATTATATATTCATTTATCTTTCCCTTACATGTGTTCCCCTCCCTCTTTCCCTAATTATGGCCCTCTTCCCATAACCCACTCTTTTTTCCAATTGTTCGCCTCTTCTCGTTTCCGTCTTTCCTTTACTCGTTGTTCTTTACTCCATCATTCACTTATTCCCATCTTTCCCCTATTTCTTACTTGTTCGCCTCTTCTTTATCTCCATTCCTCGCTTGTACCCCTCTTCTCTCCTTTTTAAATCACCTATTTAACTCTTCTGTCCCTCTGCTTACACAATGGTTCTCACAATAATTTCTCTCCCCCCATCCATCACGTTTCCCTCTAATCTCCCATTTAAATCAATTGTTCTTCTCTTATGTCCTCTCCCCGCTTATCTAATTGTTCAGTCTTCTCTTACCTCCTCTCCAGTGTCTTTTATAATATGCCCTCTAAGCATACCTTACTTCTTGTCCAGCAGTGTTGGGGCTTCAGCAGTAACTACAGGTAGCTGGAGGTACAGGAGGTTGCATGGTATTGTGACGCTGACATCATCTCTGTGTGCTTCCTTGCAGTTCCTTCAGCTACCTGCAGGGTGAGAGGACCTGCCGCCACAGGTGCCAGTGAGAAGGCTAAAAAGCTATTCTCCTTCTCATCCAAGCACTCCTGCTGTAGCACCAACAATACACTGTTCCAGCAGTACCGCCCCACTCCTGTGTGCTGCCTCGAGGCCATGGCCTCGGCTGCCTTTTGGGAAATCTGGCCCTGACTAGATCACAACCCAATGATGATTATTATTTTTTTTCTGTAGAGAAATAAAGGTTCCAGGTGGAAATTGTCCAAGTGTTGCAGAGGCATGCCTTACTTGGTCTTGATACTGATTGATAATCCGTATCATAGCATGAACAGCATCTTCCTGCTGCAGGTGTTCCAGTCCTGGACTATTTGGATCACCTGCGTCCCCCAGTCCGTCCCCTCCAAAGTGGGCAAATTCAGGATTTATTTCTCCAAGAAGGGAATGTGAGACTCCACGGTACACCGGAATCTGCCCCATAGACACACACAAAGAAATAAATTTCAGGGTTATTCACTAAAGTGAGAATTGTAAGCAATTTAAAGTGAATTTCAAATGTAAAGTCTAAATAGCCAAACTTTGAGCATAGTTGCCGCCCGGCTTCCTTTCTCTGTGTGTTGCAGTACAATAAGGTTTAACTGAGAGGCCCATGATAGACTCTCACCCTATCATCGGCCACCTGCTTAAACTTTCCTCAAAATAAAACACAGCGAGATGAAGAAAGCAGGGGGCAGTGGTTTTAGGTGTCAATACCTTAATTTCTGTGCTAAAACTTAGCAAAATGGTGACTTGGACACATCGTTCACTCAGCTCCCCCACGTCGTGCCTGACTGCAAATATACTGATTGAATGGATCATACCATTCCTATAGACATAAAAAACTGCTTTATGCATCTATATTCAATAGAAATCTGCAATTTTATAACTAGAGACAGAAATAACTCCCAAGCTGTCAGACAACCTGAGAAGTTTTCTTCCACCTCTGGTAGCACCACAGAGCTAACTGAAGTGACAGGCACAATGTGCTATAATGAGCCTGCCCTCCCCCCCTTGTCAATGAGCTGTAAGGGCTTGCATAGGCATGTCTGCAGCTTTTTCTAACTTTTTTTTTTTTTATTATTGGAAATCATGCGGGGAAAGAATACATGCATGTTTTCCTATGTATGTATATCTACTAAATTATATATATATAAATAAATCAATAGGGTGTGTCCTTAAATTGGTAGAATTGGTAACTGGCTAAGTAACCTCTATAGCCGACAATCACTGCTGTAGTGTAAATGATGGTGAATAAGGCTTTTGCAAAGTAACTGAAAGTACAAACATTTATATCCGATTTTGGGAGTTAGGGGGTTAACTTTCCACTTAAGAAAAGAAAAAGACTGAAAGAAGAATCTCAAAAAAGGATCTTCCCAAATATCAGTCCCTATACCCTAAAAGGAGACTGTTCCGCTAGTATAAGTCAATTGGTTTCCAGTTTGGAACTTGGGAAAATTTGGTACAAAAAGAAATTAATAAATCTTTATTAATCCCTCTTGGGGAATGAAGAAAAATGAAAAGTGTATATACAAAAAATAAAGTGTGTGTATAAAAAAGAAAAAAAAAAAAAACCAAACATCTACTATTCTATTTATAAAGCAATATGTACATCACACCAAACAGGCTCCTGTTAGTAGCAACTGAGATTAGGATATAAACTGTTGCTAATAGTAATAATTGTGCAACAGTGTCTAAGCAGCCAATGTAGTTTATGTGTGTGAATCTCCCACAGTCAATATGCTGAGGTAACATGCTTTAAAGGAACAGGTGCCACTCAATAGGCAGCGAACAACTATGCCCTGCCTAATCTGGGTGAAAACACCCTTCTAAGATATAGTGCTTTTAGTAACTTGTATGGGTGAGGGTTGCCTATGTTAGGACTATAGGATGACATAGACTATAGTATCACTTTTAGAGGGAATTAGAAAGCCCCTAATAATACTCCAAAAGTTCCCCCTTAGTTTCTGCTAGAGAGAAAAATAGTATAAAGAGAGAGAGAAACCACGTATTGAAAGAGTCCGGCCGGACCTAAGTTTAAACGCCTACATATTCTCTGTATTCTCTATATCAAACCTGTCTAGATATAATCCTATTCCTGATAATGGTATACACAATTCTCACACCACCTAAAGGATTCTGCCGAGTAATTGTATAGATAGTTAAAGTCTGCTATTGTTCCTACAGCTATCAGCTCCTGAGTGTAAAAAGTAGCTTGGATTCCAGTAAGGTAGAAACTTAAGTCCTAACACGTATATCTAGAGAATCCCCCCTCTTATTCTTATATTGCGGTCCTATCCTGTCCAGAACGAAATAGTGGGCGTTTATTAAATAAAAGACCCTGTGGTCTCCATGCAGCTCAACGCGTGTTTCGGTGCCAGAATGCGCCTTTCTCAAGAGCTTACCGGGATGTGGAGAGACGCCACGATTTAAAGGGACACCGTAGGCACTGTATCTGCTTCATCTCATTAAACTGGTTATAGTGTCTGGAGTCCTCTGGTCCCATAATTTCTATCAGCATTAAACAGTTTTTAAAGTTTTAATGCTAAACAAGAGTCCCCAGCAATCCATCCCCTCTGTCCTGCTTTGGCTAATAAGGAAGTATTAGCCTGAGCAGCAATGGGCAGCTGTGATTGGCTGAGAGTGTCAGCTGACTGCTTTTAGCCTGTCAGAGAGATGGTATGAATGGGTATGAAAACAAGGAAGTGTGTAATCTCTGCCTTAGCTACACATACTGAAGGGGCCGGACTGTGGGTGGCCAGGGACTCTTATTTTGTGGCATACTGCACGAACATGGTGCAACACTGAATGGAGGGACAGTGCCAGGGTACTCCAGGCACTATAACCAATTCAAAGAGATGAAATGCTTATAGTGACTACAGTGTCCCTTTAAACCTTCTAAGCTCCGCCCATGTGCTTCGTGACGTCATCGTCACGCCCAAGTACGTCAGTTGGTGGGCGGAGAGTGGGCTGAACAAGTGGCAAGAATGTCTGCTCGGCAGAAGGGGATATGTTAACCCCTCATTAGCCAAATGCATAACAGACTCAGGAATGAGTTAAAATACATTAAATGTTGTAGAGTAGTGTTCCTACTCCTTTGAAACATATATATGTGGATCAAAAAAAATATAAAATGAAATATGTGTATATATGTAAAAGGTATGGATGGAAATCATTTTATCATCCTTCGCCTTAACTTTCCACTTAGTAGTTAGATTACGTATTTACCTCCTGTGTGACAGTTCCTCTTTAAGGTATGTGAAACTTTCTGAATACACCTGAACATTTTCTGAGTGAGTTGCTTCCATGAAAGAGATGATTTGTACAAAAAGGACCATTTCTCTTCCCAGTTTCAGATTTCTTGCAGAACTTTTTAAATTAGACACAAGTGAACATGAAAAGAAAAAAAAAGTGCTTTCATATTGAAAAATCTGTAATTGTGATCTCACCTCCATCCTGTTACACACGTGTAAAACACGCAGCACATTCCTGCAGACATGCTCAATGGTCGTATTTCCAAAGCAACATGTGATTCCCAGGATTTCAACCTCTGGGGCTGCAAGAGCCATCATCAGCGCCTGAGCATCGTCCACACCACAGTCCACATCAATGAGAAACAGCTTCTTAGTCATTTTGAGAGATCCTGCTAGGGATAAAGAGCTGGCGCATGAGCATAATACGACATGTCATCCAATATAATGATGATCACTACTTTACTAAATAGTGCCCCTTAATAAATATCTCACAAAGTTCAACAAGGGTCTCATGACATTCCAGAACTGTTACTATTACCAAAAAGGTTACGTGTCTGGCAGAATGCCCATTATATTTAAATCTGGGATAACATAAGGCTTCTTCATGCCAACGCCAACAGTCAACAGAAATGAGTCATATGGTTGTTAATAATAAATAATTTTTTTTACAATGGACCTTATTGTAACCTTAATATATTTATATAAAAAGGAACTAAAGTAATAAAAAAAAAAGCAGTAATGAAATGACTAGTAGTATGGTTGTCTGCCCTAACAGGCACTTAGACTGGGTGAAGGTGCAAGACCTGTCAGAACACTCAGGTTAAATACTTCTTCTAGTGTGGGATTTATTGTACAAACACTAAGTGTCTTTCCAGCAATGCATTATTGCTATTTATAATGGTGCCTGTGCTCAACTGTGATGCACAGTAGTGTACTGCACTGTGTAACCCCATGTCCTATGCAGGGTACATTCTGTGTTCCCATTTTTCTCATGTACACTGGGAATTCTGTGAACTGTGAAAACATATTGCTGGTAGGCAGGGCTGGCACCAGGGCATGAAAGCCCGTACATTCCGAAATAGCTGACAGACTTTTCCTGCGGCAGTGCTACACTGGGAGGAAGTGATTTCACTACACTGTCCCAGAGCGCCCAGAGATACCATGCGTAGGAATGGAACTGGCATCCTGGACCAGCCAGTGCTCCACTAAACTACAGGGAAACCACTTTCCTGCACTTAAAATATATGTAAACAGGAAAGTGGCTAAAAAAACATGGATTTACAATATTGTTTTAGTGTGTGTGTCTTCCAGTGTATATCTGTGGGTGAATCTTTGTGTTTGTCTGGCAAATTGTGTTTCTGTGACTATGATTGCATGTATATCTGCTTGTAAGTTTTTTTTGGATTGGGAATTTGAATGTTAAAAGCAGGGCCGTCTATAATATGAATAGGACCCCGGGCAAAGCCTTTTCTTGGGCCCCCTGGGCCCTGTCACCGCACCCTCCTTTCCCATTACACCCAACCCGCAATCACACTGACAGACATACTGACACATACACACACAGACACATTAAAACATTCGCAGATACATACTGACACACACATACACTGACACAAAAATATATACTGGCAAACATTGACACACATTCAGACATACTGACACACACACATACATACTCACAGACACATACACTGACAGATATATTGACACAGACACATACACTGACAGGCGTATTGACATACACAGACATACTGACATACACACACACACACTGGAACACAGTGAGACATACACACACAGACATACACACAGTATGTCTGTGCGTGTTAGTATGTCTGTGTGTATGTCAGTATGTCTGTGTGTGTTAGTATGTCTGTGTGTGTATGCCAGTATGTTTGTGTGTGTATGTCTGTGTGTGTGTATGTGTCAGTATGTCTGTGTGTGTGTGTATGTCAGTATGTCTGTCATAGACACACACAGACATACTGACATACACAAACAGACATACTGACAGACATACTAACACACACACATACAGACATACTAACACACACACATACAGACATACAAACACACACACATACAGACATACAAACACACACACATACAGACATACAAACACACACACAGACATACTAACACACAAACACAGACAGACATACTAACACACACACAGACATACTGACACACACACAGACATACTGACACACACACAGACATACTGACACACACACACACACACAGACATACTAACACACAAACACAGACAGACATACTAACACACACACACAGACATACTAACACACACACATACTGACATACATTTATCCACCCTCCAGGTTCTTACCTTTTTATGGAGGGTGGTTTCCCTGGGGTCCAGTGGCAGGCTGAGGCAGATGGGAGTTCTTCTCTGGAACTCCCCTCCTCCCTGCCTTCCTCCTCCCGCGCGGCTATCTCCGGTGGGAGGAAGTGACACGCGGTACTTACTTCTTCCCAGCCGGTACAGGAAGGGGCCCGGTCGCGCTGTTTAAGCGTCACAGCGCCCGACCGGGCCCCTTCTGCCACATGCCCACAGGGTGGCCCTTAGTGCATGCGCCACCCGGGGGCCTCCTTAGTTGGCAGGCCGGTGCGGCTGCACCGCCGGCCGCCGGGTACATGGGGGCTGCTGAAATCGTGGGGCCCAGAGCAGCTGCCCCGTTTGCCCCGCGCTAAAGACGGCCCTAGTTAAAAGGACACTCCAGATCCATAAAGCACTTTAGCTTGCTGAGGTGCTTTATGTGTGAAGAGTGTGTCCTCTTTGTTTCATTTTACAAAAACTGCAGATTTCAATAGATATTGACACTTCTAAAAATTAACTTAGTTACACCCCCTTGGCTTGCAAGCAGACAACAGGTCCTGTTACTTCCTCGTTTCGATAGCTCAGTGGAGCTAAACTCAAGAGGAAGCAATTGCCTAGAGCACCTGCCTTGCAAAGACTTCTCATTGAGCTGCATTGGGAAGTCTGTGATTGGACAGCCACAGAAAGTCTGGACCTGGTTAGAAAAAGAGCAGGGCTTGCGAAGCCTTCCGACAAGAGATCTGCAGCTTTTGCACCTAGATTTTAGATATAACCCCAATGAAAACTACATAAATAAATGCATTTATGTTTTCATTGGGGCATTTCTACTGAACAGTGATATTTATTTGATTGTATTTAGGCAGTGGTGTGTCCTTTTAAGCTGTGAATAGGTGTCTGAGAGATATGTGTCACCATTTTGGTGACCAGGCGTGGGATGCACAGTGCCGGGTAGGCGGTGTTTCCCTCCAGTAGGGACCGGGAAACCCCCCCGGCCCATGGGTGGGAGGGGCAGGACCCGCAAAGTGCATCACAAGGCTGTTGCATGGCAGTCAGGTTCGCAAACAGGATGGCGGCCGTCCGCCCCGGTCTCCATCCTCATAGGCCGCAGACTCCGAATCCTCGAATTACCCTCCAGGGCTCTGAAACTCCCAATCTCAGGGGCCACAGTGGCTCCGACAACAGCCTGGACACTTAAGGTAACTCTTGGACTCCAATATTGCTTGGAAACTTGCCACAGGAGACCACATTTTCCAGGAGCCTTTCCAGCCCGCAACCGGTCAGCATGGCGGTTGGGCCCTGCACCCCGAATGTGAATTTTTTAATAGATATGGTGTAACAAATATTGAGTACATTGACTATCAGGGTTATTCAATAAAGTGAGACTTCACAGTCAATTCAAAATTTAATGTCAAAATAGCATTCTAGCAATAGAGCCAGACTCCTGAGAAGGTACACAGTTCTCCAGGACTCTGAAGTAAATTGCCAGGGGTTTAAGTCTGAGTAGGATTAACCATAAGGTGACCCTAGACATCCACCAAGGGCCCAGGGGTAGACAGCGGCCTCAGAACCATCAATTTGCTTGGTCCTATTATCCAGCCTATGTGGGAAATGAAGGGGCCCCCAAACTGGTAGGTTGCCTGTGGGATTTTAATCCTCTGGTGTGATTGCAAGCTATAGTGAGATCGTTGCCTTCTACACTAGTGATGCTTCACAGATTCCTAACAAAGCATCCTAACACTGCCATGACTGACTCTCATTCTACTCAGCCATCAGCGATGAGGTAGGTAAAGGAGGTTAAGAAACTGTCCAAATCAGCTTTGTTTGGGAACAGGTAGACTGGGTTGAGAGATGGAAGAGAGATTAACATAGGCAATGGTGTATTTTGAAATGGTGCTGCCCTAGGCATGACAGATCTCGGGCACCCCCTAATTTAAATGTACTCGCCCCTTCCTGCCAAGGCCACACCTCTTCCTGTTAACTAACACACATTTTGACTGACAGACACACACTCTCTCAGATACACTCACTGATTTGACACACATACAATCATTTAGACACTCACTGACAGATGCATGCACTTACTGACAGACACGCACAAACACTCAGACACACACAATCACATTCATTGACAAACACACACATTTTCCCCCCAAGACTCACAATTATTATTATTATTATGTTTTTTTTTAAATTTAAATCCACCCATCCTCCCTACTTTTGGGATAGCTGGTGGATTTTTCACCTGGGGTTCAGTGGGGCTGCTGGGCAGGAAGGTGGCCACGCGGGCGGGCGCTCTAAGTTTTCAGCGAGGAAGCAGTGATCAGCTCCATCGCATGCCGCAGAGTGATGCCAGGAGCTGGACTGACGTCATATTCCGTCTCCCAGCATCACTGCAGGACGGAGCTGAGCAGAGAGAGCAGAAGTAAAATAAATTATAAATAAAATCAAACTACCGGTAATTCTATAGTGTTCCTCTAAAAATGCATCCAGCACCACCTCCATGAGAGAGATAGAGAGAATGATGAATATTTATGAATGGAATTTATAATAAAAGAGCATTTGTGGTAAACTTAAACTGCCAGAGATCCCAAGCTCTTAGAAATAGTTTTCTGTAAAATGGGGCTGTTTTACCTGGAGAATGATTCCTTTAATAAAAGGCTTGCATGCTCCTCATTGCCTCCAGAGCTGTTTCAGCTTGCAGATCCACAAAGCCAACTGTGAGCAGTTCCCTCTTACGGTGTGTTGTCAGGTGGACTCATAAAGGAACATCCCTCTAAAAAGAAAAAAAAAAACACAAGCAGACCATTCACTTACTTCCTCTATGCCTGACTGCAGAGCCTCTCCCTCTCCTCCTCTGAGCTTGTAGTGTAGATTCAGAATGTGGTGGAATCAGCGTTTTACAAAGCTGAACAGCAATGCAACCAAACAAGCAAAAAGTTTAAAAAAAACAATAGAAAGGTTAAAAATAAACTATAATTGTGTTTAACTTCTTGGTGTTATTATTTTGTTGCTGTAGATTTATGGCTCCCAATTAAAAAAATAAATAAAAATCAAATGCAATTAAATCTACCAGTCAGGGAGTCTCCTCACTGCAGCTGCTTCACCTTCTCAGAAGCAGCAATGTTAAAAGTAAAGGGTCATATCATTAAAGAGGAACATCACTCCCAGACAGTTCCTCCTTTCTTCACCTCAGTAATCATTACTTTACCAGGGTTAATAGAGCAGTGGAGGTAGGTAAAAACTAACTTACCTGCACTGCACTATTCCATTGCTCAGGCACCTAACAGAGAAATCCCATTCACGCTTGCAATTCTCTCTCACAGAGCCATTCAGATACATGTGCAATGTGCATAACACAGGGATTGACAAATTTGTTTGGAATCTAGGAGCCAGCTAAAAATGTTAGGAGCCAGTTTTTTAAGGGACACTATAGTCAGCAGAACCACTACAGATTAATGTAGTTGTTCTGGTGCCTATAGCCTGTCTCTGTAGCCTTTTCAGAGAAAAGGCAGCGTTTACATTAATGCCTACTAAGACCTCTAGTGACAGTCACTCAGACGGCCACTAGAGAGTCCTGTGTCAGTGCTCTACATGGAGGTGCTGAATGTTACCCATAGAAAACATGCGTAATATCCTCCCAATGCTTTCCTACGGGAAAGCATTGGCTTAGCTGAGATCATTAAGATCTCAGCTATGAAAGCAGGACAAGCAATGGCAAAACCAGCACGGCGTGGGAAAAAAGGTGAGTATAAATACCAATCATGTGATAGGAGGGGGGCAGGTACCTAAACAGACACACACACACATATATACACACACACACAGGGCAAAATAAAAATTTGCCGCCCCCCCATGTGACATCACAATGCCCCACCAGGGCCGGACTGGGAAATAAAAGCAGCCCTGGAAAAAAAATATTTACCAGCCCCATAATGCATCGCGCCAGCATAGTGTGCAGATACAGAGTTAGAACAGATAACTTAAAATTAAAAAGTACTTCAACGTAAAAAGCGCACTCATAGGCTTCAAAATAAACAAAAGTGCAGATTTATTTTAAGCAGACGTGCCTTTGCATGTAATCAATGTTTCAGTCCAACTACCTTGACATATTAAGGAAAGCTTGTTAATGGGACTGAAATGGTGAATGTATGTAGGGCACAACTGAAAAAATGTTTATTTTGAAGTCCTGTGGGTGTGCTCTTCACTTTAAATATGTTATTGTGCTGGAGTATGCCCCTAGCAACAAGACTGGGCCAATATCTGCTCATTACATATGGTACATATTAATGAAATTTCTCTGTGTATTATGCATTTATAAATGTACATTAATATGTGTAAATATAATAGAGATATAAAACTAATACACACATTAATATACATGTCATATACTAATGACGGATCCAGAGCCTGAGCCTGAGAGGGGCACTTGTAGATTATTTAAAGAAATATTCCATGCACAATAACCACTACTCCTCTGTGTACAGCAGTGGTGCAATGTGTGTGAAAGGTTCAGTGTGTGGGTGGGCAGTGTGTAAATGTGTATGGTATGTGTGTGTGTGTGAATGTGTATGGTGTGTGTGTAGGGCAGTGTGTGTATGGGGCTAGAGTTCACTCCTACTACTGGGACCACCAGGAAGTGGTGAGAGTGAACTCTAGCCCGTAGCTCCAGGGCTAGAGTTCACCCTCGTGAGAGCCGGAGCGTTGCCCCAGGTCCTCTCTTCCTCCCCTGCCGACTGGCTGCACGGTGCCTGTGGAACGGGGAGGGAGATCGGCCGGCAGGGGAAGGCCTTGGGGGCTTTGTGATATATACTGCCCCTATGTGTGTCTCTTTATCTCCAGCCCCTCTGTGTGCCTTTTTGTCTCCCCCAGTCACTCTGTATGTTTATTTCTTCCCCTCACTGCTCCTCTGTGTCAATGTCTCCCCTCTCCTTCCCAGTCTCTCTCTTCCCCCTCTGCCTCTTTCTTCCCCTCCCCTTGTGTGTCTCTCTCATTTCTCCCTCTTTGTCTCTCTCTTCCCCCTCTGCCTCTTTCACCCCCTTTCCCTGTGTCTCTTCCTCCCCCCTTTCCCTGTGTCTCTCCCTCCTCCCCATCTCTCTCCCTCCCCCTTTCCTGTGTCTCCTCCCATCTCTCCCCCTTTCCTGTGTCCTCTCCCTCTCCCCATCTCCCTCCCCTTTCCCTGTGTCTCTCCCCTCTCCCCATCTCTCCTCCCCCCTGTCCCTATGCTCTCTCTCCATCTCTCTCCTCCCCCTTTCCTGTATCTCTCCCGATCTCTCTCCTCCTTTCCTGTGTCTCTCCTCACTCCCCATCCCTCCTTTCCTGTGTGTCTCTCCCTCCTCCCCATCTCTCTCCCTCCCCCCCCCTTCCCTGTGTCTCTCAGCTCCTCCCTCCCCCCTTTCCCTGTGTCTCTCCCCATCTCTCTCCCTCCCCCCTTTCCCTGTGTTCCTGACCCTATAGTGATCCTTTAAGATGCAAATTGAGATGTACACAGAGCATTTGGTTATGCTGATACTATACAGATTATACAACTTCTACTACTAATAATAATAAAAATGAGAGATGTGCAAAAAACCTGGTTGCAGCCAAACCACTTCTTCCACCAATAAGCAATTCTTTGGGACAGCCACATTCCGGCCACATGGCAGTTTGGCTAGTCTGAATTTAGTTAAATAAAAAATAAAAAATAATGTCCTGAATCATTTCATGGAGGCAATACTACGAGTAATTACCAATAAAATGACTATTTCTTTTTTTTAAAGAATTGATAAAAGCTTCTTGCTTTCATTTCTAAGTCATTACTGTCCATATGATAATTTCCATTTCAATATCAAACCTTAAAAATTGCTGTTTACTTATATGACGATGCTTCCTGCTGGGGCTAATCCGTGTGACCTACTGTTACATTGGTA